CCAGCCTGGTCTATATAATGAGAGTTCCAGGGCAGCCAGGGACACATAGAGAGACCTTGTTTCAAAAACCCAAATCAAAGCAAACCAAAACCAAAGCAAACAAAAACCCCGCCTTTCACTCTTTGTGAAAGCGACTGTTAGGCACTCCAAGGGTACAGAGCCTGATTCTGTTGGGTACCTTTTTGGTTGTCACATAGTCACTGGGTCGCTTGTAAGTGCTACAAGATATGGTGCAAAATTATCTGCATAGCTCAGAGACCTCTTTCAATTTCCGCCCAAGAGGAAACCATTGTATCTTGGAAGCCACAGAGGGGATCCAGGAACAGAGTCTGTGCTAATTGCCCTTCCACACTAGTCAGAGCCCCCGAGACTCAGGAATATGTGTCTTGAGGGAAACATGAGTCACTCCGCCAACGCACAGCTGGACTCTCCCAAGCCGAGCACAATGGAGATGTGGAAACTGGAGGCCCACACTGGAGTCTATATCCCAAGCGGGGTTCACACTCTTCCTGTTGTTGCATTGTGAAATGGAAACACTGTTTCCTGGGAAAGGGGCCAAATTCCACCAAAGACACCGGGCTGAAATCTGCACAGCTGCTAAATGCTTCTGTGCTTGTAGAGAACGTCTTGTTTTGAAAGTTGGGTGTTGGTTCCGAACAGATAGTTGAAAAGAAAAGGGGGGGGGAGGGTGGCTCAGCTCATATATGCATACGTTTGAACACTAGATCCTTGTCCTTGACTAGTTCGAGCAAGGGGAATTGAAAAGGGCCATGTAGGTTGCTTGCAACATATGCTTGCCAACTGTTCTGACATGTCTTTCATGGATATGAACATACTTCATACTTACAACATCCTTAGATATTATTACTATTGTTTTAATGTAAAAAAATGTGTATGGGTGTTTTTCCTGTGTGTGTGTCTGTGCACATACTGGTGCCCGAGAAGGCCAGAAGAGGGTATTGGATCTCCTACAGACACAATTCTGAGCCACCGTGTGGATGCTGGGAATTGAACCTGGATCCTCTGGAAGGATTGCCAGTGTTCTGAACTGTTGAACCCTCTCTCCAGCCCTGTTGTTATTCTGAGTGTCACCTTGGTGGCCTGCAACTGTCTATGTAGCTGAGTATGACTCTGATCTCCTGATTCTCTTGCCTGTGCCACCCACTTGCTATACTATAGGCATGCACCACCAGGCCTAGTCTTTTTGTTTCGTCTGGTTTGTTTGTCCCATCCAAGTACTAACCAGACCCGACCCTGAGACTGGGCACGTTCAGGGTAGTATGGCTGTAGACTGGTTTGTTTTTCAAGCCAGGGTTTCTCTGTGTAGCCCTGGATGTCCTATAGACCAGGCTGACCTCAAACTCACAGATCTGCCTGCTCCTGAGTGCTGGGATTAAAGGAGTGCACCACCCCTGCCTGGCAGGCCTAATCTTAAATATGTTTTTTGTTTTGTTTTGTATGGTGGTTTTTCCATTACACTGTACTTGCTGGGTACATTTGGGTGCAGGGGTAGCTCCCAGAACTGACTGTAAGCTCCCTAAGTCCCAAACTATGTCTTTCCATCTCTGGGATCCAACCTCCTGCTACCACATCTCCTGGCTATCTGGTTATATTTCTGGTTGTGATCCCAGCCTTTACCCGATGAGCCGTCTCTCCAGTCTTCCTTGCTGCTTCTAAACCCAGCTCCTTAAAGAAAGTTTTGTTGCATTTATTGCGTGTGATGCAATACATGCATAAGTATTGCGTATACATTTGTGGAGGTCAGGGAACAATTTGAGGGAATCAGCCCTCTCTTTCCACTCTAAGGGCCCCAGGATGGAGCTCAGATTGTCAGCTTGGTGGCAAGCACCTTTACCCACTGAACTGTCTTGCTGGCCCTTCTCTACCTCCTTTTCATAGAGGAAATTTATGATGTATAATAGTGGGATGAATATAAATAGCTGACTTATTTGTTTATCGCAGAATGATTAAATCTAATTAAACCAGGAAACATTTCCAAGAGTGGCTGTTTACAACTGAGAAATAACCAAGTTTAATTTTAGGCTGTTGTTTGAGACCAGTTCTCGTGCAGCCCAAACTGGCCTCAGATTTGCTGTGCAGCAGAGAATAGCCTTGAACTCCTGGTCCTCCTGTCCTTCACATCTGCAGTGCTGGGATAACAGGTGTGCACCATCACACCTGGTTTCTGTGGTGCTGGGGGGTCCAACTGAGTTTTGTGTATTCTAGGCCAGCACTCTACCAACCTGAGCTACAATCCCAAAGCTGAATTACTTTAAAAATGTTGTTTGGAGCTGGAGATGTAAGTTGTGATGGAGCATATGTTTTGAGGCAGTCTTTCTTATGCTGCCAAGAAGTCCAGCTGGCTTTGAACTCAAGATTCTCTCCTTCTGGGTTAGAAAGATGGATCAGTGGTTAGCAATGCTTGCTGTTCTTGCAAAGGACCTGAGTTTAGCTCTAGCCAACCATGTCAGGTGTCTTATAGTCACCTGTAACTCCAGCTCCAGGGGATATAACACCCTTTTTCTGGCCTCTGCTGGTACACACACACACAGACACACACACACACACACACACACACACACTACACACTAAATCTGTGTTCCCACTGGATAGGCATCAAAGAGGTCCTAGTCTAATTGGAGACGGCAAACACACACACAGAAAGAAGTAATGACAAATGATGGTGATACCAAAAGATGTGATGGTTACGGCTTGTCTTTGGAATAGGATGGATCAGGTTTACTGGACTAGCAAGAGACAAGCAAGAGGCTAATGGAAAAGAAGGAGAAGTTGATTAACAATCATTAGTAAGTACTTAAGGCTAGATGCCTGACAAAACCCGGAAGCAAAGCCTCATAACCCCACCATCTCCAGTAAGGTAAAGCCACAGAACGTGCCTCCTCTCCAAAGGGAGCTGACAATCAAGGCAACATTTCAGGAAAATTAACCCGTCACGCTGTGCCCGCAGTGTGAACTGAAGAGGATAAAAGCTCTGAAAAGGACTGGAGAGATGGCCGGGGTGCCTTCTGCCACTCCCCCAGCAGCTGGCCTATGGTAAACAAACGATAAGACTGAGTATTTTGCTCTTGCAGAGGGCCCCCATTCGATTCATAGCACCCACATTGGGTGGCTCACAACCACCTATAATTCTAGCTCCAGGAAGCTCAGGCCCTTTTATTTTCTGATTTTTTTAATTCAAAAATTTTTAGATTTATTTTTACTATTTTATGTGTATGAGTGTTTTGCCTGTATGTACATCTGTGTACTGCATTCATGCTTGGAGCCCGAGAAGGTGGTAAGCCTCCATGTGGGTGCTGGGAATTAAAGCCAGGTCCTTCACAACAGCAAGCAATGCTCTTAACCATTGAGCCAACTCTCCAACCCCTTTTCTGTTTTTTTGTTTTGTTTTTTTAAGATTTCTATTTATTTATTATGTATACAACATTCTGCTTCCATGTATATCTGCACACCAGAAGAGGGCACCAGATCTCATAATGGATGGTTGTGAGCCACCATGTGGTTGCTGGGAATTGAACTCAGGACCTCTGGAAGAGCAGTCGGTGCTTTTAACCCCTGGGCCCTCCCTCCCGCCCTTTTTTTTTTTTTTTTTTTTTTTTTTTTTTTTAAAGATGTTTTTATTCTATTTTTAAAAAAGATGCTTTTATTCTATTTTTTAAAAAGATGTTTTTATTCTATGTACGGTTGTTTTCTCTGTGTGGATATCTATGCATCACATGTGTGCCTAGGGCCTGAGGAGGCCAGAAGAAGGTATCGGCTCCTGTAGAACAGGAGTTACAGATGGTTAACTGCCATGTGAATGTTGGGAACCAAACCTGAGTCCTGCTGCAAGAGGAGCCAGTGCTCTCAGCTGAGCCATCTCTCCAGGCCCTCCTCTGCCTCTGCAGGCACCCGCTCTCACATACACATACCCACACACAGACACAAGTGTTTACATATAATTAAAAATAAAATAATAGGTTCTGAATAGATGGCTCAGTTACAAACACACTTGCTGCTCTTGCAGAGGACCAGAGTGTGATTCTCCATATAGGTGGCTCACAGCTCTCTGTAACTCTAGTTAGAATTAGAATACCCTTTTCCGTATTTCTGGAGAATCCATACATGTATTTACATACACAACAGTGTACAAACACACACACACACACACACACACACACACACACACACACACAAATACATTTTAAAAATCTTTGAAACAATAAGCATAAAACAAATCTTTTTTTTAAAAAAAAGGATACAGCAATATGCTAGGAAAATATTGTAACAATGCAGGCATCTGTGAATGACAGTAATATGACTTCAGGAATGGAAAGGACTGGGAAGCAAAAGCAAAGGAGAAACAGGTAGACCATGAGATTTCACTTTCTTTGGGAAGGGTGGGAAAGAGAGAAGTTAAAATTCCAAGGTTGGTGACTTGGGAGGACGATGGCACCATCAACAAATAAGTTCACACTCCTATTGCAGGGAAGATATCTAGTTGAGTTTGGATAAAGTGGGATATCTCAGTAGGTTGTGAGGAGTAGAAGGGAAATTGGGAAGAGTCCAAGGCTAATTATTGATAATACTGAAATAAGCTGAGCATGGTGGTACAGGTCTTTAGTACCAGCATTCTGGAGGCAGGGACAGGTGGATCTCTGTGAGTTCAAGGCCAGCCTTGTCTACACACAGGACTCCAGGACAGCTACATAGTGAGACCCTGCCTAAAAAACAAACCAAAAAATTAAGCAGGACATGGAGGCACATACTTTCAATCCTAGCATCCTGGAGGCAGTGTCAGGTGGATCTCTGTGAGTTCAAGGCCAGTCTGGTCTATATAGCAAGTTCCAAGGAAGCCAGGGCTTCATAATGAGACCCTGTCTTGAAATAAAAAAGTTATTGATTGGGGCTGGAGAGATGGCTCAGAGGTTAAGAGCACTGGCTGCTCTTCCAGAGGTCCTGAGTTCAATTCCCAGCAACCACTTGGTGGCTCAAAACCACTCGTTATGAGATCTGGTGCCCTCTTCTGGTGTGCAGATATACACGGAAGCAGAATATTGTATACATAATAAATAAATAAAATCTTTAAAAAAGGTTATTGATTGATTCATGTATTGTAGTTCTGTGGATGGAACCCAAGACAGGACCTTACATACTCTATAGTTATGTGACTCCACTAAAATAGATGCCATCCCAGCACCCATTCTGTTAGTTCATTTGCCTGAGACAGGGTCTCATGTAGCCAGAGTGGCCTCAAACTCATTGCGTAACTGAGGCCCTTCAACTCCTGATTCCCTTGCTTCTGTTTCCCCAATGCTGAGGTTACATGTGTCACTACACCTAGCTGCCAACTTATTTAATTTTTTTTTTAAAAAGGGAGAAGGAATTTTTGAGGAGGAGAAACATACAAACAGCCTAAAGCCCTTTATATATATATCAGAAAAACAAGAGCAGTGCCTCTAGAGCTGGTATGGGGATGCCTGCTGTTTGTGGCAGCTGTGAGCCAGCTGCTGAGGGGCTGGCCTTTGTTTCTCTGATGTAAGGACACATCATCTGTCCCAACTGTTTATTGCTCACAAAACACACTGTCTCCCTGGGATCTGTCCCAGCTGGGATCCAAAGCTGAGCGGAACGGATTTTACACCTTTTGTTGCATTTCCTTAAATGTAAACTAGTAAAACCAAGGACAGAACCATGATGAGATGGACAGTGCTCCGCTATTTTTACCATCCACTTTCATGACTTATGCGGTTTCCAGGGTTGTGAAGGTCCCTTCCTGTACAGGCACTCCTCTATCCAGAAGCCCTCTCCTACTCCCCCAGAAGCTGGCCCATGGTGAATTCTTGACTTTTATTGATCAGATGCATGGTTGGAGGTATGATACAGCACTGGGAAAGTCTAGCTGCTGACAGTCTCTCTCTCTCTCTCTCTCTCTCTCTCTCTCTCTCTCTCTCTCTCTCTCTGTCTCTCTCTCCCTCCTCTCTGTCTCTGTCTCTGTCTCTGTCTCTGTCTCTGTCTCTCTCTCTCTCTGTGTGTGTCTTTCCTGCACCAAGGGAAACTTTTATTTTAACCTCACTATCCATTCTGTGGACTCCTCAGCAGCTGAAGCATACCACGCAACAGCACACATTTCAGTGAGTGGACAGAGCAATGGCAAACTCCAAGATAAATCAGAAAGTCAGCAATGGCTTGTGGAGTGCAATTACAAAGGAAAAGAGACTGCCGATTACCACTGAAATGGAGTGAAGTTTCTGGAAAGGATTGCTGGGCTCCTGGTCTGTGTCAGCATGGTCGGTAAAACATCGCACAGAGCTCAACACACCCACTGTCGGAACCAGTTGGCATTTAATAAGAAGACCCCCTGAGAGAAGCTTGCTGATGTGGGCATTTCTGCAACATATCTGTGCAGGGGTGGGGCCCTTTTGCAAAAATTCTTTAGGAGGGAGGGAAGCATCAAATGAGTCAGATCTGTATTCATGGGGCTACCCCCTGGGACACAACTTGACTCATCCACAAATACTGACATTCCTTTGGAAGAAGTGGACTGCAAATACTTTCCTGGAGGGAAAGCCGTAACTGCATTGACCTAACAATTGCTTTAGCAAGCATGTAGCCACAAATATTAATCATCCATAGATGCTCCTCTTTAATATGTAATCTGTAAATGTCCACTGATAAGGAACTGGTTGAATATGTTATAGTGCATGCATACATGGGAAAATAAGGCAATTCTGTGTGGAAAAAAAAACTTAGGAAATATTAACAACTCAAAAAAATGACTATGTATGTATATATAACATGATCCTATGTGCACAAAATGCCTTTCTTTTTTTTTGTTGTTGTTGTTGTTTTTCTTTTGAAACAGGGCAGCACTAGCTGGCCTGGAACTCTCCTATGTAGACTAGAATGGCTTCAAATTTATAGAGATCTCTCTGCCTCTACCTCCCAAGTGCTGGGATTAAAAGTGTATGTCACATACCCACCTTGTTTTTTCTTTTTTAAAGAAAAATAGGGAGCCTGGAGAGAAGGCTCAGTGGCTGCTTTTATTAGAGGTCCTGGGTTTAATTCCCAGCACCCACATGGTGGCTCAAACTGTTTGTAATTCCAGTTCCAGGGATCCAACATCCTTTACACAGACATACATGCAGGCAAAACACCACTGCATATAAAATTTAAAAAAAAAATAAAAAGAAAGAAAATTAGGATCTTGCTATTGTAGCCCAGGTTGGCCTCTACCTCATATTCACCTTGCTTTGGACTCTCAAGAGCTGGGATTGCAGGTATATATGATTACACCTAACTTGTGTGTCTAGAAATATGCTATAGGCCTGGCAGTGGTGGCGCACACCTTTGATCTCAGTACTTGGGAGGCAGAGGCAGGCTATCTCTGTGAGTTTGAGGCCAACCTGGTCTACAGAGTGAGTTCCAGAACAGCCAGGGCTGTTAGTCAGAAAAACCCTGTCTCAAAAAAAAAGAAAGAAAGAAAAGAAAAAAGAAAAAAGAAAGAAAAGAAAAAAGAAAAAAGAAAGAAAAGAAAAGAAGAAATATGCTATAGAAAACCTGCAGGGAAATACTAATAATGGTTTCTTGGGAGGGAGGAGAATTAATTTCTGGGATAAAAAATGGAAGTATAATTTCCTCAGAGGGCATGGTGGAACATATCTATAATCCCAGTACTCTGCAGGCTGAGGCAGGAGAATCACCCACCATGAGACCATGAGTGTGAGGCCAGCTGGGGCTATCGAGACCCTGTCTCAAGGAACAAGAATAGCTGGGCATGTTGGTGCATGCCTATAATCCAAAAGAAAACAACAAATGGCTTCATCCCACACTATATTACTTCTTGTACTATTTTCAATCTGTACCTTGCCTGTTAAATAATGTACTTAGGGACTGCTGCTGAGATGGAGTGGTAGGTAAAAGTGCTTGCCACCAAGCCTGACAATCTGAGTTTGATTCCAAATACTCACTGATTTAATGTGTCTGAGCGTTTTCCTTGCATGTATGTATGTACACCATGTGTTTGCCAAGTGCTGGCAGAGGTCAGAAGAGGGCATCTGATCCCCAGGAACTGGAGCTATGGATGGTCATGAGCCACCATGTGGATACTGGGAACTGAACCTGGTCTTCTGCAAGAGCAACAATGCTCTTAACCCAAGAGCTAGCTCTTCCGTGTACCTGCACTCTTGAAGGACAGGCATAGCAGTAGTTTGAAGGTCCAGGAAAACTTTCTTCTGTCACTCTGTTTTTTTTTTTTTTTTTTTTTTTTCTCAAAGCTGTATCAGTTTGTTTGTTCTGATTTTTAAAGACAGGGTTTCTCTGTGTAGCCCTAGCTCTCTTGGAACTTGCTTTGTAGACCAGCTTGGCCTTGAACTCACAGAGATCTGCCTACCTCTGCCTCCTGAGTGCTGGGGTTAAAGGTGTGTGCCGCCACAGCCGGCTGAGGGTCACTCTTTAACTTCAAGTGAAAAAGCCACTTGTCTCTGTGGAAACCGATTGGAGTGTTGGGGGGGGGTGCTTTACTCTGTGGTCCCTAAAGTTCTGTATCCTACATGGCAAACTTCTGATCCACAGGTTGGCGATTCTCTGACTGGAATGGTGACATTTGAGTCCCCACTCTTAATGATAGTGGGTAACAGACTAGAAGTGACCTTTTGCCTAGCCTCAGCCGGGGAACCCCAAGCCTGATTTCCTAAGCAGGGAAGAGGTTTTCAGAATCTCTGTGGGAAAGGGAATTAGGGTGGCTCCAGGGACTGCTGAGCGCCAGATGTGGGGGCAGGGCAGCCTGTTTCTAAACCTCTGTGCTAAGGAATCTTCTGCGCCTACTCAGTACTGCCAGCTCCTTGGTGTCTACTAGGAAGACAACTGTTTGTTTCCCCATTAGGGAATATAGACAAGTTGCCCCTCTTCCTGCCCCAACGGAAGATTCTGAGTACTGGAGTCCAGAGATCTGAGGCTAAGAGCAAATGCTAACAGTAACCTGGAATGAACCCTGGCGAGCCACCTGTCTTCTCTTGGCCTTCCTTTCTCTGCTAGATAAGGGGATGGGGTTCCATGATCTCCTCGAATACTCACCTAATCTTTCTGGGAACCCAAGGAAGAACAAGTCTGATACCACGCTCTCTGAGGTCCGAGTCAGCTAGATTTCTGCTGGAGGGTTCACAGGAACAGGTGACCTTAGAGAAATGACTAAAAGCCTTTACAGTGTTTTATTTCTCACCTTAATCCTGTCCTGTTCTGACAATTCTAAGAGAAACTGAGAGGCCCTTTGTAGGCTGACATCATTCTCCCTTTCCTCTTCACTAACGGTGCCAGGAGCTTTGGGGACAGTGGTAACTCAGTGTATAGATGGTGGGATGGGCCCTCAAATCCCTCTGAAAAAGACTGTATAGGGTAAGACTCCTACAAGGACACTGGGCACAGACAAAAATGTTTGCTTACACCTAATTCATGCTCCATCTGCACTAATTTTGAACTTAAAAGTCTGGGTTTGGGGGATGAAAAAAAAAAACAACTAAAAGAAAAAGTAGAGCACATTCGGAGGACCTGATTCCTTCCCCCGGCTCACATTCCTCCGCCCCAGTCCCGCTGCAGCAGCCTCCACTGCCAAGGGGGCCCTAGACTCCCGCTCCAACTATTCCAACCATCCTGAACAGGGTGGGGCGTTTGGCTCTCGGGTCCCTCTCCTTCCCCTCCCGGGTTAGTCTCCCCTTCTGCCCCGGTTCCTCCCTTTCTGGGGTGGGGCCAGCCAATGGCCGACGAGACTCCGGGTTTGGCCTGGGAGCCGGGCAGCTCGCGGATTCCCCGCCCCACAGTTCTGGCCAGCGTCCTGGTGCGCACGGACGTGGCTCGAGTTTCCTCCGCTCCTGGGCTCCTGCTCGCTTTCCCCCCTCTCTCGCTCCTCCTTCTCTCCCAGTCTCCGGCTCCAGCTCCACCCGGCCGGCCCCGCACGGCTCCGGGAAGCCATGGAGGATGTCACGCTCCATATCGTCGAGCGACCGTATTCCGGATATGCAGATGCCTCTTCCGAGGGCCCGGAGCCGACCCCAGGGGAGGCACCGGCCACGGAGGAGCCGTCGGGGACCGGCTCTGACGAGCTGATCAAGTCGGACCAGGTAAACGGTGTCCTAGTGCTGAGCCTTCTGGATAAAATCATCGGCGCCGTTGACCAGATCCAGCTGACCCAAGCCCAGCTGGAGGAGCGACAGGCGGAGATGGAGGGTGCCGTGCAGAGCATCCAGGGAGAGCTGAGCAAGCTAGGCAAGGCGCACGCCACCACGAGCAACACCGTGAGCAAGTTGCTGGAGAAGGTGCGCAAGGTCAGCGTCAACGTGAAGACGGTGCGCGGCAGCCTGGAGCGCCAGGCCGGCCAGATAAAGAAGCTGGAGGTCAACGAGGCGGAGCTGCTGCGGCGCCGCAACTTTAAAGTCATGATCTACCAGGTGAGCCCGTAGGCAGACTACGCCCAGAGTGGGGGGCAGCTACCCGCAGCCCGGGCCCTGAGATCTGGGTGGGGACACCCGGCTGAAGTTCGTCTCTCCGCCAACCTGGCCCCGTGGGAGCGGTCAGGAGCTCCTCCCTCCTCCCTGCAAACCCAGCTGGAGTGGGTATGGGCAGTGGAGGATTCTTGGGGCGCAGTGAGGGGCTGGCTCGCTGAGGGACTCACTGGTGCCTCCCCCCGGGCCCAGGCTCCTCCCTGCCGTGTGTACCTCCTAGTCGAAAAGTTAGCGGGGCGGGGGGGGGGGGTGGGGGGGGTTGGACTTGGGAACGCTGAATGCTCCCAGCTTGTCTCTGTCAAACCTCTTCCCACTTGAAGGAAGTTTTGTGGGGGGAATACCCGAGGGCCCTGGAGGTCTTTTAGGGACCCTCTGTAAGCGGACACTGACTGTGGGTCCCGGGGCCTGGGGCCTCCGGTGCTGCGGGCCCGATATAGCGGGTGATTCAGGGCTCAGGCACGCACCGGCGGGGGCGCCGTGCAAGGGACACGACCGACCGTCAGCCCCCCTCACCCTACCCCGCGCCCCCGCACCAGCCTCGGCTGCCCACGCGCTTCCCTTTGCTGCCATCTGTCCCTGGCCTCCAGGCACTTTCAAGTCCTTGGGGACACCCAGTCTCTTGGTGCTCGGGCGCCCTTAGCTTCTCCTGGGAGCGGGTGGGGCGGGTAGGGGTGGGCGTTAGGAGAGCAAGTGGGGCTGGTGAAGGTGGCGGTCTGGGCGCGGTGAATCAACCCTCCTCCCGCGCATAACTGCGCGGGGGGGTAGGGGGCGGTGTCCCGAGCCGTGAAGGTGCTAGCCGGTGGTGGCTGGCACACTCAGGCTCCACCCTTTGCTCTCTTTGCACCTCTCTGAGTTCCTCCTGCCTGGATACCAACGTAGCTTTTGTATCCTCACCCTTAAAATAGCTGGCAGTCTCAATGCTGATTTGCCCCTGCACGCCTCATGCCTGACCCCACTCAGAGTAAGTCTGAGTGACGGATTGGTGTTCTTTTCCCTAGAGGGAAATGTGCTGAGCCCTGCCTCCTCCTTGTTGGTGGCCTGGTTGGTGCTCCCACTCCTAAACTGAGGGCTGTGGGGGGTTAGTTTATGCTCCTGAGGGGAATGGAAAGAAAAGGAAGACTAAGTTTGCCACATCCCCCACCTTCAAGAACCTGTGTCAGGGAGCTGTGGTCACTAACTGCTCCGAGCCTTGCTTGATTACGATGCTTTAGAGTGTGTGGTGTGTGTGAGAGATGAGGTCCTTAGCATGATTTCCCTAAGGGCGCTCAAGAGTGATGCAGATGGGGGACAGTGTCTGGGGGAGAACTGAGCCTATTATATGCTCTGGGACTTTGGTAGAGGGATCAAGGCAGAAACAGGACCGCTCCCAGCTCCTGACTCTACATACTGCCGAGGGACTCTTTCAAGGGGCTTGTAAAAAGTTTTGCCTTGCTGATGCATACCGGTGGCTCCATCATTCCAGAGGCCAAGGCAGCCTGGGAC